CCGATGGGTCCCACGGAGAGGTAAGGACCACAGCCCCCCCAGTCGTGGCTGGCCCGCCCTGTGTCCTCGGGGTCCCCCGGGGCGCCCGAAGTGGGGTCCTCGGGGTCGCCTGGGGCGCTTGGCTGCCTCTCGTGACGGCTGCATCGCGGCATCCAGGGCACAGCACTGCAGAGCAGGCATCTCTGCCAACCCCCGAGACATCGTGGTCAACGTCGTGATCTACATGCATGACAGAACACAGCAACGACGAGCACAGCACACATCGTGTCACGCAGAGTATACACCTTGTACATGTCAGGCAAGAGTAGATCAATGCAGACATTGCCAGATACGCATCCACCACAGTGTACACATCATGGCACGGCAGAGAATACCAAACATCAGGAGCGAAGTACGCACAAAACGCACGTAGAACGCATACCACAACAAGGCACAGCATAGCAGACACCGTGATCCGCAGAGCACAACACAGCTGATGATACATGTTTCGCATCAGCCACTTGGGCCATGGGCCATGGGCGACGAGGCGCGGGTTTGCTAATAAAGCTGCCATTTGGAACGAATGTCTGGAATCTGCCTCAAAGTTCCATGGAGGACTTCTGTGTGTTCCACACTCCCCACCCGCTGTTGCCGGAGCGTTGCGTGGAGTGCATACATGGGCTGGAAAGGTGTGAGATCAACAGCGGCGTCAACTTGAATGGTATCTCCAGGCTCCACCTGTATGAAATTGCTACTCGTAAGATTGAGACGAATAACCAGATTACCCCAATGCGATCCCCGCCATGCGGAACAGAAGCCAATGCCTGGCGCGGAAACATGGGCTGAAAAATAGCGGCGTGTCCCATGAACCGCCTCAGCAGCGTCCGCAGATGCCACCGCATCTCGGGTCATTTCCCCTGTGATGAACACGGCAAATCCAGCGAAGGCGCCTGAGCGGTCACACACAAACGTCAGCCTGCGAGTGTGCTTCCCAATGAGAGCCTTATTGTTGGAAGGTAACCTTGCAAAGTCGAGCTCTTCAAAACATTGCGGGTGGGCTATCGCGCAACTTGCGAAAGGAAAGTTGTCGATGCCTACGACAAGCCTGCCCTGGGGAAAGGCCTCCCCAACCCGGTATCCATCAGGCGACCCTGCGTCAAGCAGCTGCTCTTTTGTGGGTATCTCCACAGGGACCAGCCAGCTCCGTGCCCGTGCAGGCACCGTCCATGGCCCCATCACAGCTTCAAGCGACTGTTTTGCATGACGCGCAAACGCATCGCGCAGTATCGCTGCGGCCCCCTCGCAGCCAGCAATCAAACCGATCAACTCGTGTACAACGAGGTCGGCTTTTACTGGAAGGACCACACTCGAGCTCTCACCCTGCTTCACTTCGATCTTAGAAGCCCACGCATCATGGGACGCGTTGAGAAATCTGCTGGCAAGATTAGCTACGTCAGGATCCACCTCAATTGCAAATACCTGACCTGCACCTGCTTTGGCTGCCTGACCCGCGAGAAGCGCAAACGGCCCTGTTCCAATGTCTACAACTACGTCTCCAGTCTTTACAACTTCCTGCAGTGCTTGCGCATACGCCTCTGTCCGAGCAGTGTCAGCAACCATTTCGTCGTACATCTCATGGCAATACCTTCCCTCTAAGTTCTCAGGCGTGAGCATGTCGACGGTGGATTCCAGAAGCGCCCTGGACTGTACAAGCCTGCTGTGGATACGTGCAGCCACGGCAATTAGAAAGGAAGTGATGATATCAAAAATAACTACAGACGACTTCCTGACTGAGCACCCAAGCTCAGCCAATGACTGGCGCAGCAGGCAGTAAAATTAAAATCAGCACCAACTCTCAGAGAGCAAGAGCACAACTTTAGCCGAGCATGCACCACAGGAGCTTGCAGAATCGGCGCCTGCCTGAATGCGAACCTTGAACCAACACGGCGACTTACAGAGAAACGAGGACGTGCTCTCCCGAACCAAGCGTTGCCTGACGATTTCCTACAGATGCTGTACAGAGCGGCCAGTGGCCGTTGTTGCGGCCAGCCCCAGCTCCTTGTTCATCGGGGGTCGCCCTGGGCGCTCGGCGCTCCATCTACAATCTGAGGACTGCCCACCTCACCTCTCGTTCCAATTGGGAGGCAAGCGGCTACTCGACTCTGCTTTGCTCTGCTCTGCTCCGGGCCACGCTGCATTGTGCGATGCTGCCGCGTATCGCCCCGCATTGCTCTGCTCTTCATTGCTCAACGGTGCTGTGCACTGCTGTGCCCTCATTAATCCTGACCTACATCGGGGTACATGGCATTCTCTGAACACCTTGTCTGCAAAGGTCCAATGCACTTGCTCTGAAGCCGGGTGTGGGCCTCTCCAGATCCGAATCGGTGGCCGATGGTCTCCCGCATGGTCTCCCGCATGGTCTCCCGAATGGTCTCCCGAATGGTCTCTTGTATGGATGCCCGCATGGTCTCCCGTATGATACTCCGTGTGGTCTCCCGTATGATCTCCTCCCTTGTGGTCTCCAGCATGGTCTCCAGCATGGTCCCTCGCATGGTCGCCCATATGATCTCCCGTATGGTCTCCCGTATGGTCTCCCGCATGGTCTCTCGTATGGGCTCTCCTATGGTCTCCAATGTGGCACTCCGCATGGTCTCCCGTATGGTATCCCATGTGGTCTCCCAAATCGTCCCCCTTCCGGCCTCCCTTATGCTCCCCATTCTGGTCTCCCTTATGGCCTCCCTTGCGGTCTCCCTCGTGGTCTCCCGTCTGGTATCCATCCTGTTCTTCCTTCGGGTTTTCTGCATGGTCTCCCTCTAGCCTCTCGCTGTTCATAATCTCTAGACCACTCTCTGCACTGTGTTTCATGTTGCACTATCGGGCAATCTCTATCATGGTTATAGAATGAAGCGGTCGCAATAGTATGCCGCGTTGAATATAACTTATGTCTGGCGCGTTGCATTCATTGATCGCATCGATTGAGTTGCCGTTCGTGAACTGTGCCCTTAGTTAATTATGATGCGACGGCAGCGCGTCGCACTTCTTCGCTTCGCGTTGCATCGATGAGCCTTGAACCGCATTGGATCGGCGACCTTGCAACTGGATTGCATTGAGCTGCCAGCCGTTGCGTTTCATCGCGTTGCGCTGCACTTGCTTTGCATTGAAAGCAATTGGCTTGCATTGCGTAGTGTGCTTGCATAATTCGCGTTGGCTGGTATCTGTGTGAATTGCTTTCCACTTGCTTTGCATGGCATTCCACTGTGTTGCAAGGTACTGCAGCGCGAATCAGGACAGTTGCGATGTCCCGGTTCGCACTACACTTCCCCCCACAGCAAAGCGGTTCACTCTCAGTAAAGCCAAACAAGGTAAATCAAAGCGGACAATTTGCAGCAACACGCACATAATCAAACCGTACCTCAGCAAAGCAAGCCAAACGTACTCCCTGCTTCTCCTGCTCCTCCTCCCTCCTAGCCAACAATGTTTGTGGGAGCCCCCAGTGCACGACCTTGTCCCGCCAAGTGATTACCCTGATCTTGAGCGTCCCACGATGGACGCTTACGACCAACATACTGTCCAGGGCGATGGCCCCAAGAAATCGGGCCCACTAACGTGGTCAAGGCGCCTCCCTTACTCGGCGCGCTTCGTACGCCAGGGGCGGCGCCTGAGGTGCCGTCAAGGGGGTTCAGCGTAGACACAAGAAGTTCGCGCGGACCTCTGAAACTGTTTTGAATATGTGGCTTGCTTTTTCTTCGACAAGAGCCACGTCGCTTAACTAAAGTGATGCGTCTTAGGAGAAGGGAGAGGGGAGGAGGACTTAAACTTTACGTCCTCCTCCCCTCACCCTTTCTCTAATTGTCCTCCTTGTCTTCCTCCTCATTCACCTAATCCTCCTCTCCCAAGTCCTCTTCATCTCTCATCCCCCTCCTTCATCCTTTCGCCAGGTCTCTGGCCCCCTCGCGCTGCAAATACCATTGAAGGGTCAGACTCTCATTCGGCACCTGGACTGGCGAACGGGAAAAAACTGAACACAAGGGGTGCGAGGAAAAGATAAGGATGGTAGGATGTAAAATGTGTGGAACGAGAGCACACTCTCTGCGTCCTCCACTCTCCCTCCACTGGCGTGGGGACAAGTGCCTGGCCCCGCCCTCCCTCCCCTCCCCACTGTAAGATGATCTCCCCTTCCCCCCACCAGCCAAGCACCGCCCTGCTCAGCCGTTCCCATTGGGGAGCTTCACAGGCCGAGGTCTCTCTCTGCAGCGCGAGAGCCTGTGGTCCAAAAGCCGCTGGCCGGGGGTGCTGGCCGTCGGGGCTGGCCCCGCCCAGCGGGGCCACATGAGCGACGAAACGAAAGGGGCCTTGCGCACGACACGGCGACCTTGCGCGGTGGCTTGCACAGGCCGCGGGCATGGCACACAGCATGGAAATGAAGGCGCTTACGCGCGACCTTATGCGGGCAGTTTGCGCGTCAGTGCCCGCATAGTCGACCCCGCTTCTCAACGTCGCTCACATAGAGGCCTCGCACATGGGGACCGAGTAGATGGGGTCAACGATTCGCGCCGCATTTCCGATGCACCAGCGACGTCGGCGATGCATCGGCGCCGTCAGGCGTGGAGCAACTCGAGCTCCACATCAAGCCGCGTCGCCGATGCATCGGCGAAGCGGCGCGATCCTCCGACCCCATCTGCTCAGACCCCGTCTGGCCCATCTGGGAGGCCTGGATCACCTGTCTGGGGAGCCCACAAAGGACGTACGCGCCCAGCTATGTACACGAACACGGCCCCGTGACCCGCGTGACCTGCCGCGTGATACGAACATTCGCGCAATGCGACCTCTCGAAACCAGTGTGGATTCATGTACGTGTACGTCCTTCTTTCGCTCCTGAACTGTCGCCCCCCAGAGACGAGCCCGGACGGCCCGCGCGCGGCCGTGGCCTCCAAGGCCGCCGCCGCTGCGGGCGGCACGGCGCGCGACGCGGCGGCCTGCGGAGGCCGCGGGGGCCAGACGGTGCCCAGCGGCGGCGGCGACGGCGGTGATGACACGACGGCGCCGCGGCTGCCCGCGGAAGCCGCAAATGGCCGACCAGGCCGACGGCGACGATAACGACGGCGACGGCAATGGCAACGGCGGCGGCGGCGGCGGCGGCGACGACGGCCACGGCGACGGCGGCGGAAGGGCGGCGACGGCGACGGCGACGGCGACGGCGACGGCGACGGCAGCGGCGGCGACGGCGGCGACGGCGACGACGACGACGACGACGACGACGTTGGCAGTGATGATGACGACGCCGCCGCCGCCGCGGCCCCGGCAGAGCGGGGCGCGGAGTCCCCCTCGGGGCGGCTGGTGACTGGCAAGGGACAGGAGAATCCATGCTTGCCTCGCCGTGTAAAACGTGTTCCGCGAGCGGATGGTCATTTTCACGATGCTCGCGGTGCTGAGAACAGGATGAGGCCATGGGCAATTGTGAGGTATGATGCACCAGGACGGCATGGAAATCGAACGCACTTCAGTAGAGCCCCCAATGCCGCCGCCTAGAGATCCTCCCGTGTGGGAATGGGGGGAAGGGGTCATGTCCTAGCTCTCAGGACAGATCCTTGCCCACATGGCAGCAGACAGCCACCCTCACACCTAACCCTTGCGGCCTGACCCTTGAACCACTCTTGTGGGACCTGGTGAACCTGGGGTTGGGCGTGTCGGGAATCCGAGGCCGCAGGGCGAATGGCAAGTTCGGCTCGGCATGGGAACACACTCGTCCCCATGCAGCTCGCGCGCAGGCGACAGGAGACGACAACGACGACGACGACGACGACGACGACGACGAGGACGAGGACGAGGACGACGACGACGACGACGACGACGACGACGACGACGACGACAACCGAAAACGCCGCGCAGAGGTGCGGGGAGGGGGCCCAGCGCGGGCGGGGGCAAGCGAAAATGACGCCCGAGGTGCTGTGCACATGTGCCCGACTCGCCCCCGGCCGCACCAGCTCAGTGCAGCGATGAGTGCTCGCGCGTTCGCGCGTTCGCTCCGCGCGCTTTTTGCGCAACTGCTGCTCGGCTTCTTACGGCCTCACGGGCGAATCGGGGCCGGCAGCGGTGCGAGGGGAGGGAAGAAGGAGGAGGAGGAGGAGGAGGAGGAGGAGGAGGGGGAGAGAAAGGGAAGACGACGAGGATGTCTAATCGCAGCAGCATCCGAAAAATAGTAACGAGGAGGAGCAAGAGTGATAACAATGAGCACGGAGGGGGGCTGAGGAGGACGAGAAGTTTGCCACTTATCGCGCGCAGGCGCCCTACGCCCCTCATCAAGATCGTCGGGGGTGGCATACTCCAGTGCCCGCTCGCACCGCCCGGATCCCAGCCCACCCAACACCTGCCTCGTCTGCGCCAAAGGGGGGGGAGGATCTCCTTCTCCGCCTCCACCCCCACGCGGCCCCCAAAGGGAGGAGGCATCATACGCGTCGCATCGGCAGTGGCCTTGCTCCGCGAGTGGCGGCCCATCGGGGCATCGTAGAGGCGCCGGGACATATCGGGATCGAGACAGCGCGGCGCGCCAAGCGCGGCGTCGCCGCTGCGCGCCGCATCGGCGGGGGGGCCTCGCTCCGCGAGCGGTGGCGCCTCGGAGCGCCGAGAGGGCGCCAGCGGCAGCCTTGAGCCAAGCGCCAGGGGCCGCCGCAAGCGCATCTGCGCGTGCGGATCCACCTCGAGCGCGATCCATGGGGACGCCGCTCGTGTGAGGAGCAGCCACCAGCAGGCCCCGGGAGCCGCCGCCTCGCACGCGCGTGCACGGGCGGCGCCGCCCCGCCGCATGTCCCAGGGGCCGCCAGACGAAGGAGGCGCAGCCCGCCTCCCTGCGCCGCTTGGAAGCAGGCGAGCTTGACCTCGCCCGCCCCCTTGCTCATCCGGCGCTCAGCTCGGAGCTCCGACCAACGGTCACTCGCGCCAGGCGATCGTGGGATGCGACACTCGCTTCGGCAACGGGAGAGGACGGAAGATCTCCCTCTCCTTGGCGTGCTCGTCCACCCGCTTCGGAGCGGCAGCAGGCAGAGGCAGCAGCACCAGCAACAGCAGCAGCAGCAGCAGCAGCAGCAGCAGCAGGCTCGGCAGCGGGAGCGGGAGCCAGACCCCAGACACCCGACGTCGCGATGCTGCTCACAACGTGGACCCCCAGAGGTCCCGGCCCGTCTACGGGGCCCAAAAAGGATACACCGCCACCGCCACCTCCCTCATCGCGCCCCCTCTCGCAGAAAAGAGGAGAGGAAGAGGAGGGCAGACGAGGGAGGGGGAACGGTGGTGGTGGTGGTGGTGGTGGTGGTGGTGGTGGTGGTGGTGGTGGTGGTGGTGGTGGTGGTGGTGGTGGTGGTGGTGGTGGTGGTGGTGGTGGTGGTGGTGGTGGTGGTGGTGGTGGTGGTGGTGGTGTATAGTTATTGTTGGGACCCGCACCATCCCCCCGGGATCCATTTTTCAACCCAGACCTTACGGTAGGTCCATGCGGCGTCGGCGCGCGCAAAGGTTTTTGACACCGCGTCGATCGTTCAACCTTGAATCGATCGCGGCCCCGATTGTTCGAGGTTGAATTCGGTCGGGCCCAATGGTGTTACCGCGTCCCTCGGTGCTTCCGCGTCGCAGAATTCAACCTGGAACGCTTTCGCTGGCGTCGCCAGCGCGCCAACGCCGCACGAACATACCGTCGCACGAAGGAACCGGGTCCTGGAGGACACGGGGGGTGTCCTGGAAGTGTTTTGCACCGCTGGTCGTCGGGTCCTGGGGACCCTTCGTGGGCCCCCGCGGGGGCCGTCAGAGAGCTACGCAGGATGAAGAGCTGCTCCTGGGGAAGGCTCCCTTCGGCTACACGCAAGAGTGAACTTTGCTGCGCGGCTGTTTGAGGGTCGCGGGGGGACCAAACACAAGCGCGCAAAACGCTACTATCGCACCGTACTCGGCGATCGGGGAGCCCTGGTGGGCCCGCACAAGAAGGTCACGCCGGCAGAGGGCCACTCTTACGTGTAGTCGACTGCTGGCGCGGACAGAACCGGGCTTCACGTCGAGCCGCCGATGCTTCGGCGATGCGGTGCGATGCTCCGACCCCGTCCAGTCGGACCCCGCCTGGGAGGCCTACGGTCTGGAGCGTGTCGCGCCGCCAGCTCTGGCCCACCACGCTCCGGCGCGACACGCTGTCCACTTCCCATGTGCCTTCATGGCGACGGATCGTCGCTGGCCCGTCCAGGGGCCCCGTGGCCCCCCACCCGAGGCCCCAAGACACGGAGGCGGCCGGGGGGTCTGAACTGGATTGGGCCCGAGAACGTTGGGCAAGAAGGGGGGATAATTAGGGGCAGATCCGCTCGGAATCGGTCCACAGACCCCTCCAGGGTCCATCTGGTGCACTTTTCCACCCTGGATCCATTTTTTGACAGTCCCGGCCGGGGCCCGAAAATTACCCCTGGAACCAGTGCTGGGCCACCTCAGAACCCCAGCCGACTCCAAGCCAAGACATTATGCCGTGATGTTTCTCCAGCGCGACAAGGGGGTCCGGAGTGGGCCGACCCAGAGCGGCTGGACCGGAGAAGCTGCCGCGCACGAATTGTAGGGCGCCCCCCACCTGGAGGAAGAAAAAGCTGCCACAAACATCAAATTTCGCGGGTCCGCGCAGGCCTTCTGGGATCGGCGCTGGCGCCGATCGGGTCCCATTTCCCTGGCGCGCGGAGCACGCCAGGGGCGGCGCCAGAGGCGCCGCAACTGGTGGGCCTGGTGCCGACACAGGATGATGAAAGAAGAGCACGCAATCAAACCTACAGGGAGGATCCGCCCGCAAAAAAAATGCATACTGTGACCAACAGCCCTGGGGGGTGGGCGAGGGTCCTGATCGTGGATTTAATCTACGATCATCCCTCCCTGGGGAGTGGTTTTTGGTATACTGATGACTGGGGTGGAGAAGGTGTGGCATACAGAAACAAACTCGAGGAGAGGAGGACGGAGAATGGCCAGGGCGGTGAAGGCGCTGCAGGTGTGGGCGCGAGCTGCCAGAGCCCAGGGAGGGCTCCCGCTCGACCGCGGGGGCCTCCATCGGACGTCTCGCACATACACATACAGTCGGACCCAGGCAAGAAGAACATCCTTCAAGAACATGAGACCCTCCGCCGACCAAAAACACGCAGAACATCCAAGGGTACCCTCCCCAGGATGCACAATAACATCCAACAATCACACAGAACATCAGCGTAGCCTCCCCGAACCGACCTCGATCTCATACCTCAGTCCGACTGTACCTGGGCGGAGTTCCGGCCCCGAGAGTTGCAGATTGGTCTGGCTCGGAGGCTGTTTGGCTGGGTGAACGCTCAGGACCAAGGAACCCGCGTGCACCTCAGAAAGCTTGTGCTTGTGCCGCAGCTTGCTCCTCGGCTCAAACTGGGGAAACCACAAGATACCGATGCCGCTGCTCCCTGGACCTCTCCCGGGGCGCGTTCTGGCCAAGATCTCGAGGAGAATCCGGCCGTGACGAAGAGGCCAGGATGCCCGAAGGGCCCGAACGAAGGAAGGGCAGTGGCATCGGTACCTCTTCCTCCCCCGATTCGCACCAGGCGCGCCGGCGCCAATTGCGCGATCACGCTGCCGTCGCGGGGTCGATCTGGATGACATCCGGCACGCGGCCGCCTGGGCGCACCCTGGAGGCTCCCCACGGAGGGGCTCTCCGAGGATCGGCAGCCGGGGCCTCCTCGCTCCTCGCTGGGGCGGCGGCCCCCTCACAGCTCCTGGTCGGCCGCACGCCAAGCCCAGATCTCCGATGATCTGATTTTGGCTCCATGCCTAAGAGCAGGGGACCTTGGTATACGGCGGTTCCAAGTCGTGTCGACCGCCGCGTTGGCTGCTGACACCGCGGGGCTCGTTCGAACTTGAAAGAACGGCCGTTTCCGAAACGTCAGTTCGTTCAGCGTCGACCGATGCTGGGTCGCCGGCGGCATTCGGGGTCGCCGCCGGTCGGCACGACGCGAACCTACTATAAACAGAAGCTTTCGGGGCTCCGCGCGGATTTCTTGGATCGGCGCTGAGCCCCACTGGCCGATCCAAGAAATCCGCGCGGAGCTCCGAAAAGCTAGGCTCGTGTAGTTTTCTCTCCTTCCAATCCCGGCGGCTTTCGTCGACTTCGGCCTCTGAGGCCCGTTAGCCGAACCCTGGGACAATGAAACACAGATCTGGGGCGCAAACCTGACCCCAGAGCACGGGTTGGAACCTCTGGGTCTGCGGATGGGACGAATCATATCACCAGATGTCCGAGCGGCGCCACCTGCGCGAGAGTGGCCTTTGGTGCGCTTCCTCAGTGGGCCGCGGGGAGGGAGTAGGGGGGGGGGGGGCGGGCAGACCCACACCCGCAAGCCAATGCGCGGGGGCCCGCGCGGGCCCACGCCAAAGAGTCACTCTGGCGAAAGGCCGCTCTTGGACGCTCGGCCGCTCCTTGCCTGGGTCCGTGTCGGTGGAGGTGGCGGCCGAGGCGGCCCGGGCGGCAGGCTCCCAGACCCACAGCTGCGCGAAGGCGCCCGTGTCGTAGCAGGGCTGCACGGATCGGAGGGGGGCCGGCTGAGACAACGGCGGCCCTCTCCCGCCAGCGGAGAGGACGAAGCCAAGACGAGGACAACATCGGGTGAGGATTCATCGAGCTCCACTGAGATTCAGCGACTCTGGAGGATGCATCGGGCGCCGCGGCCTTCTCAGAGCGTTCCTGAACGGATCTATCCTCGTCCTAGCCCCGCCCGAGCCAGGCCCACGCATCCGCTCAACATGCGTCCCTGCACCATTCTGGGGATCCGTCCGAGCCTGTGTTTCGAGGGCGCATCTGGCCGTGGCGACGGGAAGCCTCCGGGAGGCCCAGGAAAGATGATAAGCTGACCCTTTGGGAGGGGACCTACACTAGGAGGACCAGAAATATTAGGAATACAGGGTCTTTTGTGCAGATGCATCAGACCAAACCGCCCAGGTTCATTATCCCCATACTGCGAAGTGCGACGACGGGGACTTCAGTGAGGCCGCGTCTTTAGGGTTCGGGTTCGTTTGCTCTCGATAAAAAAAATGGAACCACGCCATGGAGGGCCGCCGCGGTCTCGTCAGGCTCCTCCTCCGGGATGGACAGGCTGAAGTTGAGCCAACCGTGCGACAGCACCTCCAGGCACCTGCCGGACTCGCCCAGGGCCAGCCTGCCAACGCCCCGGCGCGCGCGCAGCGGCGTGAGCCACCGCCACTGGGGCCCGCCCCTGCCAGGGCCGCAGGGGTAGAAGGTAGGCCCCTCCGCGCCGCCGGCCATGCACAGCTCGCCTGAGGGTTAAGAGGAAACTACTGGGAGGTCTTCGTCGGAAGGATTTAAAAACATTGAGCCCCATTGGGAGGCTACTGCGCCGGATTAGGCCACGGAGTAAGCGGGATGAAGCTGGACTAAGCGGAATTAGGCGGGATTAAGCGGGAGCAAGCCAGATTAAGCCGGATTTCGGACAAGGGCAAAGTCAGAATTTAACCTCCCAGGAGTTGCATCCGAATGAGGGGGAGCGATAGCCAGTTCTCCGACGATGTGATTTTTTCAATCCTGGCGGTTGTCCTTGATTTCGGCCTCTAGGGCTCTGGGCACAGTTTTCGGGCCCTGCAGGACCATCAAAAAATGAGCCGGGGCGCAAATCTGCCCCCAGGGAGGTGGTCGAGATCTCGGGGCGCGGACTGGACAAAATCACATCGTCGAATGTCTGGGGAGGGTGAACTGGCTCAGGGGGGAGCGATGACCTGGAATCGACGACACGCTGCCAATAGATCAGCGATAGGCTCCCAACGGGGAAACCCCGACGCTGCCGGACAGGCTGGGGCCCCCAGGCCCCGATCGGCGAGCAAGGGATGGTGGGGGGCGATGCTTCCCCCTCCCCCCCTGGGCCAGTCACCCCCCCTGCCGTTGCCTCGGATACACGCAAGGGTGACCTTCGGTGCGCGGCTTTTTGGGGGCCGCGGGGGGGCCAACACACAGGCGCGCAAGACGCTGCTGTCGCATCGCGCTCGGCGATCGAGGGACCCCCAATGAGCCCGCACCAGAGGTCACTCCGGCGAAGGGTCACTCTAACGTCTAGTCGACGTGGCCCCTGATCGCCGCCACCAGGGCGGATCACGCCGCCGCTGTCGAGGTGGATGGACATGGCGCTCCCCGCGCCGCGCGCGGGGTCGCACGGAGCGACCGGGACCCGCATGCCGACCGCATCCGCGCCCGAGGATACCACGCAGGTGCCGGTGGAGAGGTGGACAAAGGCGCCCCGGGTGCCCTCCGGCGGCGCGTCGGGCCCCAGGGCGGGCACGCTCCTCCGCACTGTGTCGATGACGACGTTGTCCACGAACCACTGGAAGGGCCTCAGAGGCCTCCCATAACGGGTCCGAGTAGTGGGTGGGGTCGGGGGATCGTGCCGCATCGGCGATGCGTCGCCGAGATACGTCGGCGATGCAGCGGCGACGTCGGCGGCGCATCGCCGATGTCGGCGTGGAGAAAGCCGGGCTCCACACAGAGCCGAGTCGCCGGTACATCGGCGATGCGGCGCGATCCTCCGACCCCATCTGCTCGGACCCCACTGAGGAGGCCTAGAGGCCTGCACCCGAGCCGCTGGCGCAGCTGCCTCCGGGGCTCCAGGTCGCCAAGGTCGGCGTGCTTCGGCAGGGCGGGCGCGGCCAGCCGCACCAGGTCCTTGTAGTCGTCCATCCAGATCTCCGCGGTGCGCAGCTTGTTCCTGGTGAGGTCCTCGGCGGGCACGGTGTAGACGCTGCCCTGCCAGTACCTGCTGGTGCGCCAGATGTGCCCCACGTGCGAGCACGGCACGTGCTCGATGGACCCGCCGCACGTCCACGTGCGAAACCCGATTTCAATCTCCTCGCCTCCCCAGATGCGCATCTCGGGGTCGTATCCGCCAAGGTGCAGGAAGAAGCGGCGGCTGGCGGCGAAGAGGCCGCCGCACATGACGGCCGATCCCTTTGGCTCATCGCTGCCGTCCAGGCGCTCCAGCGGCTTCTGCGCCAGCGTCCAGGAGAAGCTCAGCAGCCCCAGGCCGAAAACACTATATCTAAAGTCCTCAGTGTCGATGCCGTCGATGCTGGGCACCACCACCCGAGTGTGGTCCTCGGCGATGCGCGAGAGGAGCGGCTCCAGCCACCCCGGAGTGGCTTCTATGTGGCTGTCCAGGCAAACGATGACGTCGCCCCGAGCACGCCAAATCCCCTCCATGCGCGCCGACATCAGCCCCCGCCGCTCACCGAGCCGCACCAGGCGGACCTTCGGCAGCGCCCGCGCGTACTCGTCCAGCTCCTCCCGCAAACGGCGCCAGTGCCCCTCGTGGAACCGGCTCGGGTCTACCTCGCTGGCGTCGTCCACCAGAATGACCTCCTTCAGGTACTGCGCTGGAGACTGGTTGAGGACCGAGTGGACCGAGCGGACGAGCGTCACGAAGTGCTCGTTGTGAAACACCATCACCACACTAGCGGTGGGGAGGTCGCACGGGTACTGCTCGTGCTTCGCCCTGCAGCCCTGCGAGCGGACGTCCCGCTGCGCCCGGTCCACCGCCTGTGCCTCCGAAGCACGGCTGTTGAAGCAGAAGCCCCGGTGCGACTCGCGCCGCTCCTCGGCCGTGAGGCCCGCCTCTGGCAGGGGCGTCTCCTGCAGGCGGCAGCACGAGCCATTCGGGCGGAGGCCCAGGAGGCCGTGGAAATGCCCAACGCCCGCACCGGGCAGCGCGTCGGGCACCTCGGAGGCCAGCTCGGAGTCCCCGGGCCGCGGCGCCGTCCTGGGCGCGTTGTCCTCGAGCGACGCCCCGGGCTCCAGCCACGGCCCCCGCGCGGCACACCTCTGGAGACTGGCAGCCCCACACGCTCCCCCACCAGCCCAGGCTAGGCCGATCCCTGGCCCATCCCAGGCCCCGCGGCTCTGGACTGGTGGCGCATGCTATAAAAAGAAGACGGCCGCCGCCTGCCCTTTCCCGCATCACCGTTTCCTTGGTGCCTGCACGTATGCTGGGGGAGGAGGCGGAGCGTGCCCATAAAATTGTTTTTTGTGGCGGAGCGTGCTCATGTGCTGGAAGAGGAGGAGGAGGAGAAGGAGGAGGAGGAAGAGGAGGATGATGAGGAGGACGAGGACGAGGACGAGGACGAGGACGAGGACGAGGACGACAACGACGACGAGGACGCCGACGACAAGATGGAGGGAGATGGGGACGCGGGGCGCCCTCGGGCACCTCCTGCCCAGGTCCGGTGCCGCCGCCGCGCCAGCAGCGCCCCTCAGTTCGCCAGCCGCCCCCGTGGGACCGAGCTCGCCCCAGAACGCGGGCCCGAGGACAACCGCGGCGGCCAGCGAGCGGCGCGCAGGGGACGCCTGGCATCGGGATCGGGAGGTCGGGTCGTCGTCGTCGTCGTCGTCGTCGTCGTCGTCGTCGTCGGCGGCGGCGGCGGCGGCGGCGGCGGCGGCGGCGTCGGCGTCGACGTCCGCGGCGGTGTCGGCATCGGCGTCGGCGTCGGCGTCCGCGGCGGCGTCGTCGTCGTCGTCGCCGTCAGCGCCGGCGTCGGCCATCGACGACGTTGTCGTCGGCGGCATTGGCGTCGGCGTCCTCGGCGTCGGCGTCGGCGTGAGCGTCGTCGACGTCGTCGCCGGTGGCGTCGGCGTCGGCGTCGGCTTCTGCGTCGGCGTCGGCGTCGGCGTCGGCGTCGGCGTCGTCGGCGGCGGCGTCGTCGTCGGCATCGGAACCGCCTGCCATCGGGATCGGGAGGTCGGGTCGTCGTCGTCGTCGTCGTCTTCGTCGTCGTCGTGGACGTCGTCGTCGTGGTCGTGGTCGTCGTCGTCGGCGTCGGCGTCGGCGTCGTCGGCGTCGGCGTCGGCGGCGTCGGGTCATCGTCGTCGTCATCGTCGTCGTCGTCGGCGGCGTCGGCGTCGGCATCGGCGTCGGCGTCGGCGACGGCGTCGGCGTCGGCGTCGGCGTCGGCGTCGGCGTCGGCGTCGGCGTCGGCGTCGTCGGAGGCGGCGGCGACGTCGTCGGCATCGGCGTCGGGACCGCCTGGCATCGGGATCGGGAGGTCGGGTCGTCGTCGTCGTCGTCGTCGTCATCGTCGTCGTCGTCGTGATCGTCGTCGTCGTCGGCGTCGGCGGCGGCGGCGTCGGCGCCGTCGGCGTCGTTGTCGGCATCGGCGTCGGCGTCGGCGGCGGCGTCGGCGTCGGCGTCGGCGTGAACGTCGGCGTCGTCGGCGTCGGCGTCGTCGGCGTCGGCAACGGACTCATCGTCCTCACCGTCGTCGTCTGCGTCGTCGGCGTCGGCGTCGGCGTCGGCGCAGTCGTCGTCGTCGTCGTCGTCGTCGTCGTCGTCGTCGTCGTCGTCGCCGTCGTCGTCGTCGTCGTCGTCGTCGTCGTCGTCGTCGCCAGCGTCGATGGCGTCGGCGTCTGTTTCTGCGTCGGCGTCGGCGTCGGCCTCTGCGTCAGCGTCGGCGTCATTGTCGACGTCGTCGTCATCGGTGGCGTCGGCGTCGGCGTCGGTTTCTGCGTCGGCATCGGCGTCGGCTTTTGCGTCAGCGTCGGTGTCGGCGTCGGCGTCGGCGTTGGCGCGGGTGTCGGCGTCGGCATCATCGTCGTCGGCGGCCGCATCGGCGCTAGAATTTGCGTCGGTGTTGTGTCGGCGTCGGCCTCGGAGTCGGCGTCGTCGGCGTCGGCGGCGTCGGCGTCGGCGTCATCGTCCTCGCCGTCGTCGTCTGCGGCGTCGGCGTCGGCGTCGGCGTCGGCGCAGTCGTCGTCGTCGTCGTCGTCGTCGTCGGCGTCGTCGTCGTCGTCGTCGCTGGCGGCGGCGTCGTCGCCGTCGGCGTCGGCGTCGGCGTCGGCGTCGGCTTCTGCGTCGGCGTCGGCGTCGGCGTCCGCGACGGCGTCGGCATCGGCGTCGGCGTCGGCGTCGGCGTCGGCGTCGGCGTCGGCGGCGTCGTCGTCGTCGTCGGCGTCGGCGGCGGTGTCGGCGTCTGCGTCGGCGTCGGCGTCGGCGTCGGCGACGGCGTCGTCGCGTTGGCGGCGTCGGTTTCGGCGTCGGCGTCGTTGTCGGCATCGGCGTCGGCGTCGGCGGCGTCGGCGTCGGCGTCGGCGGTAAAAACGCCGTCGCCGTCGCCGACGCCGTCGTCCTAGGCTTCGTCGTCGTCCGCGTCGGCATCAGCGTCGGCGACTGCGTCGTCGTCGTCGTCGGCGTCGTCGTCGTCTTCCTGGTCGTCGTCGCTGTCGTCGTCGCTGGCGGCGGCGTCGTCGGCGTCGGCGTCGTCGTCAGCGTCGTCTTCGTCGTCGTCGTCGTCGCTGGCGGCGGCGTCGTCGGCGTCGGCGTCGTCGTCGGCGTCGGCGTCGGCGTCGGCATCGGCGTCGGCGTCGGCTTCTGCGTCGGCGTCGGCGTCGGCGTCCGCGTCGGCATCGGCGTCGGCGTCGTCGTCGGCGTCGGCGTCTGCGTCGTCGACGTCTGCGTCGGCGTCTGCGTCGTCGACGTCGGCGTCGGCGTCGGCGACGGCGTCGTCGGCGGCGTCGGCGTCGGCGTCGGCGTCTGCGGCGTCGGCGTTAAAAACTCAGTCGCCGTCGCCGTCGCCGTCGTCGTCGTCGTCGGCGTCGGCATCAGCGACGGCATCTGCGTTGTCGTCGTCGGCGAATTCGGCGTCGGCGTCAGCGTCGGCGACGGCGTCAGCGTCGGCGTCGGCGTCAGCGTCGGCGACGGCGTCGGCGTCGGCGCAAACGTGGTTGTCGTCGTCGTCGTCGTCGTCGTCTTCGTCGTCGTCATCGTCGTCGCTGGCGGCGGCGTCGGCGTTGGCGTCGTCGTCGGCGAAGGCGTCGGCTTCTGCGTCGGCGTCGGCGTCGGCGTCGGCGTCGGCGTCGGCGTCGGGGCGGCGTCGGCGTCGGCGTCGGCGTCGGCGTCGGCGTCGCCGTCGGCGTTAAACACGCCGTCGCCGTCGCCGTCGCCGTCGTCGTCGGCGTCGTCGTCCGCGTCGGCATCAGCGTCGGCGTCTGCGTCGTCGTCGTCATCGAATTCAGCGTCGGCGTCAGAGGCGGCGGCGGCGTCAGCGTCAGCGTCAGCGTCGGCGACGGCATCGGCGTCGGCGTCGGCGCAGTCGACGTCGTCGTCGTCGTTGGCGTCGTAGTCGTCGTCGTCGTCGTCGTCGAAGTCGTCGTCGAAGTCGCTGGCGGCGACGTCGTCGGCGTCGGCGTCGTCGGCGTCGGCATCGGCGTCGGCATCGGCGTCGGCGTCGGCGTCGGCGTCGGCGTCGGCGTCGGCGGCGTCGTCGTCGTCGGCGTCGGCGTCGGAGTCGTCGTCGGCGTCTCCGTCGGCGTCAGCGTCGGCGTCGGCGTCGGCGTCGGCGTCGTCGGCCTTGGCGTCGGCGTCGGCGTCGGCGTCGGCGTCGGCGGCGTCGGCATGAAAAACGCCGTCGCCGTGGCCGACGCCGGAATCGTCGACGTCGCCGTGGGGTATCAGCGTCGGCGTCGTCGAATCCAGCGTCGGCGTCGGCGTCGGCGTCGGCGTCAGCGTCAGCGTCGGCGTCAGCGTCGGCGACGGCGTCGGTGTCGGCGACGCCGCAGTCGCCGTCGTCGTCGTCGTCGTCGTCGTCGTCGTCGTCGTCGTCGTCGTCGTCGTCGTCGTCGTCGTCGTCGTCGTCGTCGTCGTCGTCGTCGTCGTCGTCGTCGTCTTCGTCGTCGTCGTCGTCGTCGTCGCTGGCGGCGGCGTCGTCGGCGACGGCGTCGGCATCGTCTTCGTCGTCGTCGTCGGCGCAGCTTCTGCGTCGGCGTCGGCGTCGGCGCCCGCGTCGGCGTCGGCATCGGCGTCGTCGTCATCGGCGTCGGCGTCATCGGCGTCGGCGTCGGCGTCGGCGTCGGCGTCTGCATCGGCTGCGTCGGTGCCGGCGTCAAAATCGCCGTCTTCGTCGCCGTCGCCGTCGTCGTCGGCGTCGTCGTCGGCGTCGGCATCAGCCTCGGCGTCTGCGTCGTCGTCGTGGTCGATGTCAGCGTCGGCGTCAGAGGCGGCGTCAGCGTCAGCGTCAGCGTCGGCGTCAGCGTCGGCGACGGCGTCGGCGTCGGGTCTGGGTGCGGCTTCTGCGTCGGCGTCGGAGTCGGCGTCGGCGTCGGCGTCGTCATCGTCGTCGGCGGCGGCGTCGTCGTCGTCGCTAGTCAGGTTCGGCGGCACCAGTTGCAAGGTCTCCATCATTGGAATTCGCGTCAGATCGGGATGCATCGCGCCGCATCGGACCGTCAGCAGATGGGAATCAAACCGGGTCGGATCGGAATAGGCCCTGAGGGGTCGGGAGCCCTGGGGTCGCGCACTGAAAACATAAAATCGCAGGATGTCCGCAAAAGGGGTTTCTCGCTCGAGGCTCGGGGCTTGAGGTTCGAGGGTTCGAGGGAGCAGGAAGTCGAGGCTCGAGGAGGGGCGAGGGGCAGTCTGGAAGAAAACAGGAGGTGCTGGACGGATATGTTCGGCTTGTCGTGGCCCTTTCAGGAGCCTCCTGCAGCCAATCAGGCAGCCTGGACAAGGTCTCCAACTCTGTGTGGCTGGGCTTGCGTTGGCGGGCATCCGAGTTCCTAGTAGTTCAGGCGCGCCAAGTGCAAAACAGCATTCCGTCGAAGGCAGAAAACTGTTGGGGATCATGACGCCGTGGGATCGCCAGAGTGCGTGCAGCCACCAGCGAAAACACTCCCATCAATTCGCTCGGGCTCCACACTGCAGCATCTACTCTGCACACTCAGACCTCTCTACCTTCCACAGTATACGCTCTACTGCCCGAACCTGCTATGTTGACTATATACCCGCTAACATCTGCTCTGTTATCCCTCCTCTCAGCTCTCTACTCTTCGCGCAGTGATCGGAAATTCCAGAAATTGGGGGGGGGGATCGAAGTGACCCCAACAGGGATATCGGTTGCGGTTTCGGTTCGCGCCCCAAGTGCGGGCGAGGCGGAGCTGCGCGAGGGCGACGGTGCGTCGGCCAAGGGCTAGGGCCAAAGCGGACAACAAGGTTCTGCGCCGGTGTCTCGCAGTTGGGCGCAGGGTTAACCCGTGGTTGTAGCTCTGTTGTTTCGTGGTTGTCCCATGGGGTCCCGTGATTGTCGAGTGTATTGTACAATGGGATGCCCCGTGGGTTATCCGTGGGTTTTCCCGTGACTGTTGAGTATGTGTCCTGTGGGTTGTAGCGTGAGCTGTCGCGGGGTTGTCCCGTGGGTTGTCCGGTGGTTGCCGAGGATTGTCCCCCAGTTGTACCATTGTTGTCCCGTCGGTGAAGCAAATCGAAATGAAAATGTAACTGCAAATCGAAATGCGAGTCTGAATTACGCTACCGAAGAAACCCACGTACTCAATGCAAATCCGCTGGCCCCCTTGTGGGGCCACCAGGCTGTAGGCCCGTGATTCGCAGTTTCCTGTACCAGTCGTAGGTTGTAGTTTCCAGTGTTACAGTTCTGCTTCTTGCTGGTTACTGTAACTAGTTGACTTATTGCTGGTTACTGTAACTAGTTGATTGACCGCGCGAGGGGGGGGGAGGCCCAAACCGGCTTTTTAGCACCCCCTGGGCGCGTTGTCTGAATTGCTGGGGGGGCTCGAAATCGACACCCCTCACGCAGATCCGCGGGGTCAGGGTCCAAAAACACATGGGATTTGCCACATTTCTGAAATTCGGTGCCACCCCTCACGCAGATCCGCGGGGTCAGGGTCCAAAAACACAGGGATTTGCCACATTTCTGAAATTCGGTGCCACCCCTCACGCAGATCCGCGGGGTCAGGGTCCAAAAACACATGGGATTTGCCACATTTCTGAAATTCGGTGCCACCCCTCACGCAGATCCGCGGGGTCAGGGTCCAAAAACACATGGGATTTGCCACATTTCTGAAATTCGGTGCCACCCCTCACGCAGATCCGCGGGGTCAGGGTCCAAAAACACAATGGGATTTGCCACATTTCTGAAATTCGGTGCCACCCCTCACGCAGATCCGCGGGGTCAGGGTCCAAAAACACATGGGATTTGCCACATTTCTGAAATTCGGTGCCACCCCTCACGCAGATCCGCGGGGTCAGGGTCCAAAAACACAGGGATTTGCCACATTTCTGAAATTCGGCGCCACCCCTTACGCAGATCCGCGGGGTCAGGGTCCAAAAACACAGGGGATTTGCCACATTTCTGAAATTCGGTGCCACCCTTCACGCACATCCATCGCAAGGCGTGGTAACCCAAACTGCGAGAACTCCCTCGGCCCTTTAATCGCAAGGTGTGGTAACCAAGCCCGTAAACCATACACGTCTTACCAATCGCCAGGTGTGGTAACCCCTCTTGTGATCAGTTGGTTTTGCTGATTGCGAATCGGCTTCGCATGGAGTTTCGATACTGCTTCACGACAGCGCCAAGGCCTCATGACTTAGCTCTTCCATGGCCCATTCTCCGAGAGAGGGGGCCGGCGGCAGGGGGCGAAGCCCTTACGGATCTTGAATTTGCGTATCATTACCATATATCCGCAATCCTGCGTTCTGACCCTCGTCGCGAATGATTCCCTATTTTGTCATCCATCACACCATTGCTTGAGCCTCCTCCCTCGTCCCCGCCTTCTATCCTCCATCGGGAAAAAATCGAGGTGGTCACCGAGGGCCGTTTCCTGGAGCGGCAGCTGGGCAATAGCACACTTTGGAGGCATCCCGTTGAAGAGAAATCTCCACCGCACCCGCGCAAAAAACCCGGCGGTGCGGCGCAGAAACCAGACCGTGTTGTGCGTCCAACTCGAGCCAAAATGTTTACGGTCCTGCTGTGGAGGAAGTGCCCCCTGGCCACGCCCTGCGCCATGGCCCGCATAGAGGCCGCGCTCAGAGACCACCCCCTGCGCACCCCCTCTGGTGTCGAGAACCTGCCACGCATGCCGTGCCCGGCGCCATGGCCCGCATAGACGCCGCGCTCACGGATCATCCCCTGCGCAACCCCTCTCGCGTCGAGAAACTGCCACGCCTGCCGTGATCTGCGCCATGGCCCGCATAGGTGCCGCGCTCAGGGACCATCCCCTGCGCACCCCCTCTGGTGTCGAGAAACTGCCACGCCTGCCGTGCCGTGCGCAATGGCCCGCATAGACGCAGCGCTCAGGGACCAACCCCCTGCGCACCCCCTCTGGCGTCGAGAAAGCTGCCGTGCCCAGCGGCATGGCCCGCATAGACGCCACGCTCAGGGACCAACCCACCCCCGCGCACCCCCTCTGGTGTCGAGAACCTGCCACGCATGCCGTGCCCTGCGCCATGGCCCGCATAGACGCCGCGTGCAGGGACCACGCCCTGCGCACCCCCTCTGGTGTCGAGAAAATGCCTTGCCTGCCGTGATCTGCGCCATGGCCCGCATAGGTGCCGCGCTCAGGGACCACCCCCTGCGCACCCTCTCAGGCGTCGAGACAGCTGCCGTGCCCTGCGACATGGCCCGCATAGACGCCGCGCTCAGGGACCACCCCTGCGCACTCCCTCTGGTGTCGAGAACCTGCCACGCATGCTGTGCCCTGCGCCATGGCCCGCATAGACGCCGCGTGCAGGGACCACCCCCTGCGCAACGCCTCTGGTGCCGAGAAACTGCCACGCCTGCCAAGATCTGCGGCATGGCCCGCATAGGCGCCGCGCTCAGGGACCACCCCCTCCAGTGTCGAGACATTGCCACGCCTGCCGTGATCTGCGCCATGGCCCGCATAGGTGCCGCGCTCAGGGACCACCCCCTGCGCACCCCGTCTGGTATCGAGAAAATGCCACGCCTGCCGTGCCGTGCGCCATGGCCCGCTTGGATGCCGCGTTCAGGGACCACCCGCTGCGTACTCCCTCTGGTGTCGAGAACCTGCCACGCATGCCGTGCCCTGCGCCATGGCCCGCATAGACGCCGCGCTCAGGGACCAACCCCTGCGCGCCCCCTCTGGTGTCGAGAAACTGCCACGCCTGCCCCGCGGCACGGCCCGCATAGACGCCGCGTGCAGGGACCATCCCCTGCGCACCCCCTCTGGTGTCGAGAAAATGCCACGCCTGCCGTGCCGTGCGCCATAGCCCGCATAGACGCCGCGCTCAGAGACCACCCGCTGCGCGCCCCCTCTGGTGTCGAGAAACTGCCACGGCTGTCGTGATCTGCGCCATGGCCCGCATAGACGCCGCGCTCAGGGACCAACCAACCCCCGCGCACCCCCTCTGGTGTCGAGAAACTGCCATGCCTGCCGTGCCGACGACGACGACGACGGCGGCGGCGGCGGCGACGCCGGCGGCGGCGGCGGCGACGACGACGACGACGAGTCGTCTGGGGGCCTGCGCGGCGCCCATCGGCGACGGCGACGGTCGCCCCGCCGCTCGCCTCGGGCGGCCCGCGGGAGCGTCGGACTCGCTCGAGGGGGGAGAACGCGCCAGGCTGGGGGTGTCCAGGGCCGCTCGGCCGAAGGGAGGGCCTCTTCAAACATCGATCCTCGATCTTCGAGGCGACGGTAACGACGACGACGACGACGACGACGACGACGACGACGACGACGACCACGACCACGACCACGACCGC